TCCATCCATCCATCCATCCATCCAATTATGTATACTAAGCATATTGTATCTTTGTTTTCTAGACATAGATGAATGTACCCGGTACCGGGGATTATGTCACCACAGCTGTATCAACACCCCCGGGGGTTACAAATGCATTTGTCCCCCAAATCAAATCCAGCATGCTAATGGACTGCTCTGCCTACCGTCAGCGTGATACACGCATGCGCATCGACATGGAAGGCCGCGTCTCATTAATACACCAAGGGCGTGGCATCCACCATAGATGGTAGAAAGAAAGTCAAAGTAACAAATGAACAAATGGACTTAACAGACTGGCGATTTCTTAATTTATTTTTGTTCTCATAAAGTGTCGTACGTTCAGAAAGACAACTGAAGACGAAACTTATCGACTGAACTTTTAACAATTTTCTCAACAAGACCTAGAATGGGACGTCAGTAACTCAACTCCATTACTTCAGTGGGACTGATAGATTTTTTAAAAAATTCAAAAGCAAAAGATGGAAAAAATATCCTGCCTTCAGCATAGAGTTCTGGCGAAGGCACAAAGTTTCGTTACAAAAAGACAATTGCATAACTGGGACGCATGCGCGTCGTTGATGCTGTTCGCTGACCACAAGAAACTGAGGACCATTTGACTTGCATCAGGTTTCTGGTGAACCAGATATTTCGATTTGTCAATTATTTCTGAGACATTAGCCACGTACGATTATTTAGCTAGTTTGCAGTGCACTATTCAGCACTAAATTATTGCAAATGCATATTATATTTATATTAATTCATTAATACGCAGAACAAAAAAATATATGCAAAATCCACAAATCGTGCAGGCGGTTGTTCATTCAGAACGCCTGCCATTGTATAAATGTTAGCCCTGCTAGTGAAAACCTTGGGTATTGTAGTGTGGATTTTAAAGTACACTTCTTTTTATCTCGTTTTGTTAACTAAACGACAGTTTTAGGATGTGGAAGAATTATTTTATTGTGGATTTTAGAAATACCTACACTTGTTCTACATCACTAACGTTTTAGTGAAGTTTGCATTGCCTTGCGGTACACAAAAGAGTAATGCTTTTTAGTTTGCTTTGCTTGGATTGCCGTCATTTTCAAATGAACGAACTGAAATAAAATTGGCGGCCATTTTGGTGATGAATACACTCCTTCAACATGACGGCAAAGACTGGACTTCGCACACATGCCCATGTATAAACGTTGAAGTTTTCTGACATTTATACCACAACTTAAACATGAGATCTTAGCTTTTTTCTGCCCATTCTATACTATTTGTGCGTGCAGTCTTGTCCCGGTACGAACAAATATTTTCGCCTTTGGCGCTTATATTTTACACTAAATTTTTTTAACATCGCACGTAATCTGATTTAGCAGCTTCTCTGAGTAGCCATCCTCCCGAGTTCATAGTATTTCATTTTCTCATTATTACCAATTTCTCTATGAGAATGTTTAGGGTATAGCATTTCCATGCAATAACGCCAATTACGATTCGTTGATTTGGATCACGTGATTTCTAGAATCCACCCAATGAGATGCCTTGTAATAATGCATGATTTTTTATGGTTTGACAATGTAATACTGGTCTGACGTGGTGGTTGTCAAATCACCTATGGTATTGTACGTACATCATTATGAATTAAACACAACATCTTAGTATAACATTTGATCAACATTTGAGTATGGTAGACTGGTAAACAAAGAAAAGATACTCTAGAGAATGACACGTGGTCTGAAATGGGGAAACAGTGGATTAGGTGTATAATAGACCTTGATACCGTGGGCGCAATATTTTACCATCAATAATCATTTCTTTGTTTGCCGGTTGCGCACGAGAAGACACATGAATATGGATACAACTGAAACAAAGGATCTTATCAAGAGAATGACACATGGTCTATCCACAAGGAACATTCACTCTTTATCTAGTGATCTGTGCCACTCGATGTTAATAATCAAAGACATATTATTCCCATTACCTCGTTTAATGTATATTTGAAGATACAGCAATAATTCATATATATAATTGTATATACCCATGCAATTTACAATGGATAGCCTGCAACAGGCTAACAACTGTGATGAGAGGAAAATCTACAAATCTATGTTCGCTTGTGCATGCTAATTAACCTGGCCGCCTCGGAGCATTTCTACCTTTAAGGTCCTGCGTAGTACAGAGAAAAGAACGGGGAGAGTAGATGGATGAAGAGGAGAGGAAAGGAGAAGAGAAAACGGAAGTTAAAATGTGCTTCTTGTCCTTAAGTCTCTATTCTCAGTCTTCCCTCTTCCAATATCCAGCATAGGATCCCCAAGAGGTGACGTTCGTTGTTGGAGGAGACTAAATGTACGGGACAGTTGCAATGGCGTACAGTATTCTTTCTAGTAAACATACAGTGTACAGAGTGTGAGAGCACAAAGCAAGTTCATTACAAGCCATCCCCTTTCGTTCACAGTCGGAGCTAAAATGAATCGAAAATAATCGTTAAAAGTTTATCAGAAAACAATTACTGAAATGTTTTTAATTTTCGACGATTTTTCAAGTAAAATTCCTTGTGCAAAATATATTGATTGTATCATGCTGAAAGCTGTGACAGCATGCACTGTGTGCGCAGTATGTGTGCGCAGTGTATGTGTGCGCAGTGTGTGTGTGCAGATGTGTTCGCAGTATGTGTGCACAGTTATTGAAAAATCTAATTCAGCAAACTATTTTAATTTAATTTCATTCTTCATTACCTCTCGACGTCTTACAGATAAAACCATAATGTTTCTGGCAGTCATCGTCGTTCCATTTTGGATCTTTTGAAGCAATTTCAACGCAGTCCTCCCCTCCATGGTCATCATTTGGCTCCAAGGTTTTCCAGTTCTCGTATTTAAGCAATCTTCCATCGCTCCAGTTATACTCGCCCTCTCTTTCAACGTCATGAAGTCCAATCCAATAGTGCTCCTTGCCATTCCACGACGTCATACCGGAAATGAGCTGTTGTTCGTCAGCATTAGATATGCTTGCCAGGTCACCATTCATTTCCCGGCATGCTTCACGAGCGTTATACCAGGTTGTCTTGCTTTTGAATAGCTTGTAGCACGAATAATCGTAGTAAAACCAGCCTTCGGGACATATGTCTAGGGTTATAAGAAACRATTTGGTGTTCAATATTAATCAAGATTTTCTCACTTCAAGTTGAGAGCAGATGTTGTTCTTGTCAGTTAGTAGAAAGAAAGAATTACCACAGAAAGGTCTTAAAAGTCGTCGAAATCAGCTGAAATCGCTACCATAGTGAGAAAACGATACGAAAAATATTTAAGGTAAGTTTCAAGGCTCTTAATTCTCAAATTTTTCACATAATGAGTATTTGAACATTCTCACACACATTGTTTTGCTGTGTTATTAAACCTTTTGGGCTTCCTTTGTTAAATGCCAGGTTTCTCAGCCTTTTGGGCTTCCTTTGTTAAATGCCAGGTTTCTCAGCAAAATTCAAAATGGTGGACCCGGACAATGTTGAGTGTTTCATCGCTATAATATCTGCAAGTTTTGATTCACATCTTCGACAATATAAAACTTTAAGTGGCAATAAAACGACAAAATGAAATCTATGTTCACTTAAAAATAAGGTAAGCTTAATCTAGTCATTGCCAGATTTACTAAATTCACTAGTCATTGTCAAAGAGTCATTGTCAGATAGAGTCATTGTCAGATCAAATTCTCTAGCTAGCAGCCTTGCCAAAGCACTAGATTCTTTAAAATCATAGTTAAGAAAGTTTTTGTCAATGATGAACTCAGCCCAGAAGAACTTCGGGCTAATGTCAAGGAAGCAAAAATAACAAAGAGACTTGCATCTATATTCTTGGTATTTGCATGTTGTTGGATACATTGCCCATTGCATAACCTACTTACCTTTAAAGGCTGAAAACACAGCTCTGAATCCTTTGAACCCCACAGAGCAATCAGAAGAAAACTGAATAACCAAGTTGGCACCTCGCGACAAAAAAGATGAAACTTTCTGCTTCCCACACGTCCTCATTACCAGCGTGTTTTCTCTACCTTCGTCTTGGATTTCTATAGAATCCTGGCAATCAGTTTGGTTTCCTTGTCTTCGCTCCTGAACCTCGTCAATGAAAATGTACAGCTGAATACGAACACCTGTTGCCATGGTGATGTCCCAAGTATGGGTCGTGTTGTCAGGGTAGGTGCTCGGGTAGTTTGGGCTAGAAAAGCTCCCTCTAGTTTCATTGAACTGTGTTTTCTTAAGAAAACCCACGGAGCAAATGGCTGTGGGGGGAATTTAACAGTATTTTAATAATAAAGATAAAGTCGTAACCAATGATGACGGAGCGCGCTAGATCTTTCAGTTTATGTCCTCCCCTGAGCCTGCGTTGCTTGGTCTTGTTCCTTCTGATGAGCACCGCATGTTACAGCAGGCCAGGACGAACGCAGGCTCAAAATAAGAAATCAAAATGTGAATCACTGAGGGAGCATTTTAATGGAGTCATGTTCTGCAAGGGATCCGCCTATATGCACGAAAAAAAAAAAATGCTCGTGTGTGAGAACGGGTTATGTAAATTAACCAAGGCTATTATACCATCAACACCATTGAGCACACAACAGATGAACTAACGAGGGACAGTCCGGTATGTAAAGGTACTAGAAAGAAATGTACATTTCTAGTCCATTTCACATCCTGTTAAAATTGGCAACAATTCTCGTTCGCTTCCTTTAGTCTGTGTTTTACAAATACAGCAAGTCTTACTTACATTTACATGTCGCGCTTTGTAGGAACACCCACATCACATAAAGAATGAAAGAGTGCTGAAGTCCTTTATGATTCATGGTTCAATGTACTCCAAGCAACGCGAAAATCTGTCAGAAAACCTCGGCAATCAAAGGTTTGAGACACAAAGCAAAAAAATTACTATTCTTAGTTTAGGGTTTGAGAGCTCGTGGGAGTAACATGAAAGCGCGTGATTTGAACTGGTAAAAGCAAATGCAGGAAGACAAAACAATGAAATCTAGATAAAGTGAAGTTAYGATTATTCCATGCTCTGAGGGAAACATAACAAGCTTCAATTAAGGAAATCGAAACAATCTGATTGATGGTGCACCTTAAAGGAAGGGCCTTTATTATGACATATGTAACCAATACATAGGACTTGCATGAGGTAAAGATACCTTAAATCATATGAACACACTTCAAACACACCGACCGACCAACCAAATATATAAATGACCTACTCAACTAAGACCACGTGATGTATTAAATTCTTCATATTTCTAATCAAAATCATTCTTTTAAGTTCAAATTTCGATTTATTGAACTAATACAGTTTTTTCAGAAAAATATAAATACGTATAGTATTCGAACTGGGGGCTTTGAGGCAAAACTTAAATTTTGAATCACTACCCAAAGCAGAAGTCATTTTATCTGAATCAGATAAACGGATTAATGTTACAGTCATAGCTTCCTTTCTAGACCTTCTGTCGCTCTAACTAACCAAACTACAAAATAGTGCGATATAACTGCGGGATTCGTTCACCGTTTTATTAATTTTTTCAAACAAACATACAATCCGAGTTTCAGCTTTCGAAAATTAAAAAATGCGGCTGCGATAGTCAACAATTATCAACTAAGTCATTTTAATGAATAGTTTTTATTATGCGGCACGACATATGTTTATGTATATACTATAGTCTAGCCTGATGTTTCACTTATAGAGCTACATTTAATATACCTACTGGCTTTCAAGTGTAACAATTGCTTGGTCTACCTGTGGCATAATTTCCACAGGGAACCCGTTTCTTAATTATCAGGAAAATATCGTAAGAAGTTTTCGATTTTGAATCTTCTCAAATATATATTTTCAGTTATTTCAGTTTTTTAGCTTCTAAGCTAAATTTATTTTTTAGCGCTCACACTGTTATGGTTTTTTTTTTATCTTTGTATTTCACCATGGATTTGCAATATGATGTCACTGACGTATATAGTTATTATTAGAATATTCTAATCAGACTTTCTATTGGTCCAAACAATGCTAAACCAATCAAAATAATTCTTATATACGTGTATCTTCAGATTGCACCAGACTTGGTAACTTCTTCAAAAAGTTTTATAAAAGGAAAATAAAGAAGTATTTTATTATGAAGCTGGGTCAGTTAGCTGAACAGCTGTCGCCTAACTATCTGGATAAATATAGAGAAGCGTTAAGAATTGAGAAAAGAGATGGTTTGGAATCAACGAGGCAAGAAAGGCGTCCATTGTGGAAGGACAGTTCGAAGGAATCCTGCAGGAAATTCTAGCTTTGGGCTAAATAAGCAAGGCGTGATCGTCAAATACCAGAAAAATGCCGCACGATTCTCTGACAGACAGAAAGAATCAATTCTCGAGGATCGATATGGCTTGATAGATGGGCTCCCTTTCGGTCCTACACCACGTCCAAACCAGTTTGGAAATTATGTCGAGTTTTCTCTTGGGAAGAGAAAACGCTGGCTTTTACCAGAGCTTGTGCAAAAACGAGGGGGCTGGGATTCTGAGAATGTTTTCGAAGATGAAGGCGAAGAACAAGAATTAAATGTTTGTTTTGTGGAGAGACACATTCATACAGAATTTCCAAGAACAAGAGCAGATTGTTTGTCGTGTTACAGTGATAAAGATGGCAAACTTCTGACACCAAAGAAACATAAATACTCTTATCTGACTGATATTAGACGCCTGGGAGAGAATGAGAAGCCATCGGAAGTTTGTTATGAGATCTGCCGCCCACCACCTTCAACTTCATGGCCGAATATGTCGGAAGACCAATTTTTATATGAGACTTATGACATGATGGGAAAAAGCGAGAGCAAAGGCCAGAAGAGCAAAGGTTTGCTCTTGGGATTCTATGGAGTGAAAGATTTGTCCATTAACAAAGCCAAAGATTTCCTTAGTGACATGCCAAAACAGAGACGTGCAAAGGCTATGGAAAGCAAAGTTAGGACTGTGCCTAGAAAGCATTTTCCAAATACTGTAAGAGGAATGAATTCTGAAAAAGTTGACAGATCGACTTCATTTCCCATGGGACAGTATATCGAAGGACTTTTGAAGGGAAGTAAAAGTGCAAAAGAAGTGGGAAGTGAAATTTTCCCTTGCATTCTGTCATCTACTGTCAGGAAGTATGGCAAAGGATGTGCCATGTATATTGATTCTGAGCCGTCCACAAACCCAGCAGAAAAATCTGTCAAAACAGTTGCGTACCAGGATCCCACTACATTACCAGAAGAACCCAAACTTGCAATCACTGTCAATGTTGCCATGCAGGACCTAGAAGTATCAAAACTAAGGAGTGATTGGGCCGATGTCTACTCCGAGGGAGGAATATCGCCAAGAAAGTTCACCCTTGACATCACCAGTCTTTTGCCAAGAAAATACCTTAATTTCAGCAGCATTATACTCTTTGAAGTGGATGAAAAAGTTCCAAGAGATGGAGCATCTGCCCCAACAACTGTTAGCTTGGTACCTATAGCACTTGGATCTGAAAAGCCTGTCTTTGCAGGGGTAGTACAGGATTTTGTTTCAAACATTGTTCAAGCAAACATGTCAGCACCTACAAGGATCAAAGAAATTGTGAACACTGCAGTAGAAGTAATGACTGCTGCTTCTAGTGATGCCAAAGAATCTTTGAAACAATCTTGTAGTCGTAAGACTACAGTAAGACGTCTTGGCTTTTTGAATAAAGTCTGTGGATGGGAATCTGAAGCATTCACTTTGGATACTGCTAAACAAAAGCTTAAAGATGAATTTCAAAAAGTATCTCTTGAATGCAATAGTGAAGATGATGTGCTGGATTCACAGTGGATGATGCTGTCCATGGACTGTGGAATCTGCTTTGAAACTTTTGAAGGTATTTGATGTTTCTGAACTTTTTTCAATAAAAATAGTTAATAATACACTTATTCTCTATCATAAATAATGCTGGTATTACATGAGAGAAAAGTTATTCTGCCTATCTCTTTATACAGTGATTTTTGGCATATGAATAAATTATTATCGTACCATATGGTATATGTACCTTGTAAGCCAGATGGTGTTTGTTTGGGCAATATATCCTCTCTTTCATATATTTAGTAACACAAATTGCGATGGCATTGAAAACTTGAAATTGATTGAGCTCTGAAACAACATCTGGGATGATCTAAGTTACATGTAGGGCAGGTGGAATTGACAATGATATTTGGAATTTTATATACTGGGTTTTCACAGCAGAGCGAGGGAGTAAAACCGGAGTACTGAAGTGCTTACTAGATACTCCTTTGTAAAGATAGGCAGACAATGACTGCGTTGAATACTTGCTGAGTAATAGGATGGAAACTTAAACTTAGTTTTAAAATGTTTGTACATTCTGACTTGATGTCCAGTGTCAGTCCTTCATCAGGGTAAAAAATATTGTTAAGATGTATTAGCTTACAGTGTTTATCTCTTTATCTTTGCTGTAGGTGATGACACCATGTTGACAAGCCTAACAGAATGTGGGCATGCCTTCTGTAGTGATTGCTGGAAAGGTCACCTAAAAACCCAAATCACCCAAGGAATTCCTTGCATCAGATGTCCAGGCCAAGGCTGCAGCAGTAAAGTAGATGACACTATAATCATGGCCATAGTACCTGCATGGTATAATAAGTTCCTCAACATGAAGTTTAACAAGGAGCTGGAAACAAGTCCAAATTGGAAGTGGTGTCCAGAAAATGGTTGCAAGAAGGTCATCAAGGCAAAAGCACCCAAGCTTGACGCAATGACAGTCTTGTGTGATTGCGGAACTGCTTGGTGCTTTAAATGCCAACAGCCATCACACTGGCCAGCAACTTGTAAAGAGTCCGAAGTCTTTGATAAGAAAGGAGAGGACTACAGAGAGATTGTGTTGCAAGATACTAAAGAACTGATTACATCAGTTATGGTGAAGAATTGCCCTCAGTGTGACTACCCTATTGAAAAGCATTTTGGCTGTCAGTTCATGTTGTGCATACTGTGTCAAACGCACTTTTGCTGGAACTGCAGCACGCCCGCTACGTACGGACACAGCTGCAACAAAGATGAAACTGACGACCTTACTAAAGTTGAACTTTCTTACAAGAGCAAACAGTACCAGATTTTAAAGCTAATGAATGTTGTAGTTAAAAGCATTCAAGCAAGAGCTCCTAAGCAGCTTTCTGCCAAGGTCACAAAGGCAAAAGCCTTAGAAACTGGTGTCACCAGCTACAAAACTTTTTCTTCAAAGATTCCCAAAGAAGCTTTAACAGACTCAAGTGTATCAAGACATATGGAGAATATTGTCGAAAATGGGATATCAGAGACTGTGCGAGAAGCGGTAGATTTAGAGTTCCAAGCTCATCTTGTGCTGGAAGGCTTTGCTAAGAAAGCTGGTGTTTCTAGAGCTCAATGCAAGTCTGGCTTGCAGACAATGTCACAACTAGCTTTTGTTGCTGACAGAATTGAATACTTGTGTCAAGAGCCATTTTTACTCTACAAAGACGGTAGAATTCAGAGACTTGAAAAGCTTCTAGCAATAGGTAAAGACTGTATTCTTACCTTGAAAAAATGTTGCACAATCAAGAAAAAATAAATAATTGGCCATTGGAATGATTTCACATTTTGTTTTTGAAAATGTAAAGCATATAATTTTTATTTTGCATGTTTTAATTTGTATATACTTTATCTTTTTATTATAGAAATTTGTAGAATTTTGTACAAATGTTAATATTAAATTGGCCATTGGCACCAGGAATATTTTTTTTGAAAATGTAAAATACTTATAAACTATACAATGCCTAAAAATTTGTATGATAATAAATTGTAGTGTATATGAAAGAATTGTATTGGAAGTTTTTTCTCTTAAAGCACTGCTTAAGTTTTCATCCAGATTGCCTTAAGGTATATTTTGAGCTAAAAGCATTTTGCGGACGTGTTTTTTAAAGGTTTCCATGTTAATGTTTTACTCAGATTAGATCAGTGCATGTTCTTTGCCATATAAAAACATTTAGTAATCTTTTGTTGCCTTTGATCCATAGCTGAAGGTATTGCATATTTTTTTTATTTTTAACAAGGTTTTGGCTTAGTCTGAGTTTGGTTTGAATCGAAGTTTGGTTGGTAATCTCCAACAATGTGCACACTTACAGTACAGTAGTTATAAGTTAGCCAAAATTTCTATGGCTTGAAAATCAATATGCCTAGTGAATTGAAAAAAGACGAGACATGAGATAGTTGGGGTAAGAGGGCTTCTTTTAGTAGGATAATCTTCAGAGGTGACATTTTGATTCATTTTTGATTTTAATGCTAGATCTAGTGCTTGTTGATTAGAAGTGAAAGATAAGTTGTTGTACTCAGGTATATTTCATTTAGCACATAGCCTCATACTGAAACCTTTGTGCGTGATGGGCAAAGCATATCTTGGAAGTGGGCTATTGTGATGTATATCATTTAGTCGGCAGAGTGGATCTTTGCATGTAACAAGTACAGTAGTTAATAATAATTGAACAACCTTTTTTATTGGGTGAATTTTATTTTTTGTTTTATGCATGGGTAAGACCTACATGAATTATCTTGCAACATTCACAACTATGTAGTCTAATTCACTATATTCACATGCATCTCACGGGCCATAATATTTCATCCCATCCCCTTCCCTTCCCACTCTTCTCTTTTCTTTCCCATCAATGCATATAGAAAAACTCTGCATTCTTGGGCTAGTGATAGAGGTTTGTTAAACCTATTGCTAAACTAGTGCCTTACTCTTCTAAAACCAGAAGATTGTCAGTTTTGATAGTGCTCCAAGGGATTTTGTTATATATATTACCATGTTAAGAAAAACCCCTAATAGAGTTCATGGGTTTTTATCATGCATATCAAGCATGCAATAATACTTAGTTGCAAACCTGGAATCCCTGTATTTCCCCCTGAAATATTGACAATAAAGTGCTAACTTAGCATATTCACTACACATTGACATATTATGCACACTGTGGCACTCATTTTATGGTAAAATCTAAAATGAAACTGATACATTTAGTCTGATCAAGGTAAGGTATCCACTTGTAGCAAAGCAACAGTCTAAGTTTTTTTACATGACATTGAACACCACTGAAGTGACACTAATGCTGGAGGATTTGGAGGGAGGTGGCTGTTATTTGGAAAGCCACCAAATATTCATACTCGTGCCCCCACCCCCCAACTGGGATCGGCACTTCAATGTTTTGTCAAGATCATCCTAAGTGCATTCTAATTCCAAAACATAGCTTCCAAGACACTGTCAAGGCATTCATAATTTGCGTAATATAAATGAAAATCTCAGACTGTCATAAGATATACTAGGTATGATACATGTTAAAAGCAATAAAAATCTAGAAAGAGTTTAATTTATAACTAGCAAATTCTAGTTCTATTCCTTCGTTAGTTAATCGTTAATTTTAGACGTGATTTTAAATAATTTTTGTGATATATTTATATGTGTAGTATTCATGCTCTGGAGTTAGTACACTCTCTCTCTCTCTCTCTCTCTCTGTATTCTGGCAGATTTGGTGTAGTGAAAGATTTTCTCACACATTAGTGTGTTCACCAAAAGGTGGTGGCGGTCTTTGCTCATCCTGCTGTGAAAAAAAAGAAGAAATATTTTAATAACCTGAAAATGGGAAATGAAAAAATGGGAAATGACATGACTCGCCTATAGAGCATAACAAAAAATGTAAAGCAACTAAAAATAGTAATAAATTGAGAAAATGGAATGACTCGTCTATAGAGTACGATGGCGTATCTACAGGACAAATCTAACGTCTGCTTGACACTTACGCGAACAGGAACACGGACGGAGCCCAAACTGCTCTGGACCGAACCACGGGAAACTGAGCGTCCAGATTTGGCCGTGTTAGCACGTGATCCGCTGGGGCTTGGGCCGCGTGAGTCCCCGCGGTTCATTGAGGATTCACTATCCCAGCGTTCAAGCTCCTCTCGGACAAGTTTCTCCATTTGGTCGCGTTTCACGTCATCATCACTTCGTCCGGCTCGCTCACTCTGTCAAAAGAAATCGAAGACTTTTAAAACGACAAGCCACAAATTGTGGTAATATTCATCTAGGGAGGGGAAGTTTGGGCAAGAATTGTACCAGTACAAGATAGACATACCTCTGTGATGCTATCAAGAAGTTTGGCCATCGTTTCACGTCTCTTCAACTTGGCTTTTTCCATGGCTTCGAGCTTGACAAGAACGGCATCAATCTTCGATACAATGCTTCCAATGGAATGATCCATGCGGTCCACACGACGGCTCAGTCTGCAAACAACAAATACATTATTAAAATTAATATATATATTAAAAAAAGCTGATGAAAAAAGATGTTCTGGAATCTTTCCGAGGCTGTCTCCTTTTCTCTAGAATCAGGATAACTGTTCCTTTCAACAAGGGAACTCATGGTGAAAATTCCCTTTGTTTGTGGCACAAACGAATTTTACTTACACATTGAATTCTTCATAAGAGACTCCTCCGCCACCTCCGCGGCGATGGCCAGTAGCGGATGCTGCACGTCCGCTCAATCCACCGTTTGACTCATCGTCGTCATCATCACTATCGATATCACTGCCACGGAAGCTAGCACGGCTGCCGCTCTTTGGTCTGGTTTCTTTGTTGCGTTCCATCTCTTGAATTTCCTCATTAAGCTCAGCCTACAACACGAAATCATCATGTATTTTAGCAAAAAATCATGATGTTTGTTGATTTGTTTAACTTCGGCTCTACTAGAAAAAAATTTCTTTAAATGACAAATTCGATCGGCATTGCATGGATACACAAATTAAGTATTTTATCACTTCATCTCGCCTACTTCAAGACAAACTCTATCAGTTTGTGGTGGATTTTTATCAGTTTTACTCTAATATCGGCGTCTATACTTCTATTTTGTTATTGTTAATTAAGGTGCGATAAGTAGAATTATATTTCCTATTTCCTTTTTCAGATTCCAACTCGGAAGAAGACGATTACAAACATCATCAATTATCCCTCAAATTAATAAACTCAAAACAAACATTGACAAGATGGAATCTTGGTTTTATCTCATTGAATCGGTAAATCATACTCAAATTTAGCGAAAGCTCAGGTCCAACCTTATTCGCGATGATTTCCCTACACACTGTTATATAATAAGTTACCTTCTGTCCCTCGAGATCTTCCTGCATTCGTCTTTGCTCATCCTCATCAAGAATTCGGTCTCCATCCAAGTCGTATTTGGCAAAAACGGCTTCAATTTCAGCATCAGCATGACCACGACTGAAAATATATGACAGGTGAAATTAGATTTGACGGCGACAACGTTTAATTTCATCGAGGTTGAGGTTATATCTTCCCGGTAATGACAAACTAATATGTATAATTCAAAGGAACTTTGATCTTTCCGCGTTGGATAAATAAACTATGAATGTCGCTACTTTAAGAAACTAATGGATACTAAAACAGCCACCGTCTGACTTGCTTTTCAAAGATCAAAATTTAGTTCATAGGGTGACTTTAAAACAATCTCTCGCCACGACAATAAATGTTTTTCTTTCCTGGCAAAAAGTATCTCAAATAGTTTTCATGGACACATTTATAAATTGAAATTCAAAAAGTTTAAAACGATGAATTGCTCAAAACGCGCTTTTTTAAATACCTAAGACATAGACTATAGACAGATACTTACGATTTAAGGTTTGCGCGCCATTCTTCGAAGTCGAGTTTGTTGTCTTGGTTCACATCGGCCGATTTCAAAGCCTTTTGGATGTCAATGATCTTCTCTCTCTTGAAGGAGAGTTTGTTTAGCATGTTCTGGTATCCCTGGTTGAAAAACGAAAATAAGGATGAGAATTTTCGTGTTCTTCCCATGGTGAGCTCTTCGAATACAGTGAAGCTAAACACCGGTGACAACTAAGATATATTTAAGCCAGAAAGGAATTGCTTTATGAGCGTATTTCCTGATATTCCATTAGATAAAACCCTGCATCCAATTGGCGTATATGTTTTGTAATAAGCGATTAGTAAAAAAATCCCTATCATATACATCGTAATTACCCACTATATGGAATAACATAATATTTTTGTTCTATAAGTGCCAAGATTTCTCCTCGATATCAATATAGAATACAAAGAATCCAAAAACAAGCTAAATATGTTTTGACCAACCTAATTAGCGGAACCATTGGTCTAATTCACTTCACAGAAATATCATTGATAAGGACACAATATTTATGAATGAGATATTTCAGTACCTTCTTAAAGTAGTCGGTAATCTCGAATTCACTTTCCTGAGCAGCGATATCAGACTTAACTTCTGCATAGGTATCGTTGATGATAGCCAAGAACATGTTGAGCAGGACAAAGAAGACGAAGAACACGTAGCTGATGAAGAACAGGGGTCCGAGAACACGGTTGGCGTTCTCGATCTGGTGGAAGTCGAAGTCTCCAAGGATGATACGGAACAGAGTGAAACTATAGAAGACAAAAACGGGGACATTTACATTTAAAGATGTTTAGAGTAAAATGAATAGAAGTATAATCTTTGCGTTGATAAAGATCATGAAATCTTAAAATACCGAAGTCTATACTCATTGATGGCTAACTGAACGTCTAGAAGTCTTTGTTTGATAAAGAATTGCTTCTATTCAAAGGCACAATGAGACTGGTATTGGTGTTGCTTGATAATGAAAGCTCAAAACCATACCCGAATACCTCTTTGTACTAAAAAATCTCAGGCCAAAAAATTTAAAACCACTTAATTGATGATTTACTGCCCTTATCTTGGTTCTCTAGATTTTTCTTTGACACTCCAAAATGAAGGATAGGAGAAAGAAAATAACCATATAGAATAAGGATAGCTTTGTCTACTTACATGCTGTCTTGAAAGGTACTGAAGTCACGCACTTGTGTTCCGAAAATGAGGTATCCAAGTTGAGCGTATGCAAAGAAGATGATGAAGAACATGATAGCGAATCCAGCGACATCTTTGGCGCACTGGAAAATAATGAGAATAACGGTTAAACGAAAGAAAGAAAGGAGGAAAGAAAGGAACTGGGAAGGAAAGAAAGAAAGAAGGAAGGAAGAAACGACAGGAAAGAGAAGGGAAACAAAGGGGAAAAGAAGGGTAGGGAGAGAAAGGAAAGGGAAGGAAAGGAAAGGAAGAGAGAAAGAAAGACGAACCAAATACTAACCCTAGAGAGAGTTGAGGACAGTTGAGTCATGGTCTTGTTGAAGCTAATGTACTTGAACACCTAAAGGACATAAAACAGACAAATCGATCAAAGTTTGAAGCCAGGTAGTATTATCGCCTTCCCAAACGTCTCCATTAACATCATCATTACTCTGCAAACAGGGACCTTCACAATTGCGTTCAAACATAAAGTCTTGGAACTTGTTTAACTGCCGATAATCATAAGGGTCTTGAAACATCTAGTAATATAAGTATTCATCTGTGGAAGCTTCCTATATACAAACCTTGATCCAGGCAAAGAAGACGGCCACAGCAACCATGTTGTTGAACTGAGTCTGCCAGAAGCCAAGAGAGTCGAAGTTTGCATACTGGTTGCTGTTAGCGAGAAGCGACGTCAAGAGGTCGCCAACAACGACTGTTCGGTAGAGATTGAACAGAACGGCAACGTAACCGAGCATGATGACCACAATGTCCAAAATGTTCCAGAAGCTTTTGAAATACTGCATCTTATGTTTCTTGATTTCCAAAATTTCTTCAATGGTGTAGTAGATGATAAAGAGGATAAAGATTCCTTCGCAAGCCATGACAAAATGGTCGAATGCATCCACATAGCGGATCAGCTTCAAGGTTCGGAAGTTAAAGGATGGGATACAGCCACCGGTTGCTGGATATTCGAAGAGAAGTCTGGAAGAAAATCGGATTTCAAGTTAATGATAGCCAAGAATTTAGCGAATAATGAAGAGAACGATAAGGAAAATAGAGCCTTTGAAGTAGAACTTATATCTAGTTAAACTACACTCCACGTCTTCGTGGAAAAAGAATTAGTTTTGACTGCTGAATGAATAGACTAATGAATAAAAGTGGCTTACCGGACGATGCAGAATAGGTTAATGTTCGCGTTATACACACTGAAGTCAATGAACACCGCTCGGGTTCCACGATCTAGCCACAGATTTTCCTGTCGAGTAAACATTAAGTCATTATTGCTTGATCTACTTATTTAATTCCCAATAAAATAAATAAATTCCAAAAATTATTTTTAAGAGCCGTTAAAATGCGAGGAAAGTAGTTAGAACCGCGCTAGCCCGACTCCTGTTGCGCAAGGTTACGCAATACCTCAAGCCCTTCAAGACTGATCAATACAAACCTTCAAATCATTGAAGACTGCCTTGGTGTCTTCCTTTTTAAGAGCCAACAGCTGAGTGAATCCACCGCCTGAATAGGTTGTCAATCTTCCCCAGTATGACCTGCCTTCGAGTTCTTTTTCCGTCTTGTAAGTCCAGCTAAAAAAAAGAGGAATATTTACGATTAGTTATTTAAAGTTTGCCTAACGGCGAAAAGTCCGTTTAGGAACTAAAGTCACACATCTTTTTACTAAAAATCACGATGAGGTGATCAATGACTTACGCTGTGCCGTTCATTTTTCCAAAAGGATTCGTATCTTCTGCACTGGGTGAGTATGGAGCATAGCATTCCTTTATCACACTCTTGAAGTCGTCATGAACACTGTTAAACGAAGAAAAAAGTGAGCCGGTTTATAAGTTCATCAGACATCTAACACTGCAATGTGAGTAAAGCTTAGGTTTTCGCATTCAAACAACGAACAAAGAGGTACTTACACACAGGAATCGTTTAGGACTCGAGTCTGGCGGATTCGTGGTCTTCCAAGGATTTTATTTTCAAAGTAAATGAAGCCCATGTCGTCTTGCGAGACGTTCTTGTCGTTGTAGTATTTTTCCCAGTAGAGTCCATCAGAGAGTGGTCCCTCGGCATACTACAAAGAGAAAAAATATTGAAGCTTTCACCATCATCATGACTATGTCTTTGAAAAATCTTTCTAGATATGCTATCAGAGTTATAGAATAAAATGACATCTTAGGAGTGAATAATGAGCATATTAAGGGGAGGGTGGTGCGGTGCATACCATCCAGAATTCGCTCATGGTGGTAATTTCCTTGAAGGTGTTCCTGTTTGACATGCTGCTCTCCACAAAGAGATCTAGAATCAACAAGATGGCATGTGTGTTACTTGAATGGAATATTTAACACCTTATCTTTGTTCATCATGATGATGGTGGTGGTGGTGGTGATGATGATGATGATACTGATGCTGCTTTTGCTGAAAATGATAATGATGATGATGCTGCTGCTGCTAATGATGATGATAACGATGAAAGTAATGATGGTGATAACGATGAAAGTAATGACGATGATGGTGAAGGTGTTGCTGCTGATAATGACGTCAATTATGTTGAAGAAGATAGGGTTGGTGGTCATGATACAGAGATAGCTAAGACAACACCAACGGAGCATAGTTTTTATGCGGGGCAGGGGGGGGGGGGGGGGGGGGGGGGGGGGGGCAAGGATAAAGAAAATTTATGTAATTATAAGAAAGAGGGAGGGGTTTAACTCCATAGTCTCCTGCAGCCCACCCTTTCCATATGTGCATATTAATTATGATAAACACTAACATACCTCTCATGACCTTGGTGAAGTAGTACATGGTAGAATTGGTCATACCAAAGGTTACTGAAAAATGATGAGATATTAAAAATTATCAATTTTAATAAACGATTAGCTCTAGTCATATGGAGCTTAGTTGGAAAATCAAGGTAAGAGCACTCACTTTTCACGTCTGGGGTCTTGGGTTATAGTTCGTAAGGTCTCTACCCTGGGGAGTCAGGATGGTGTAGTGGTAAAACCCTTCCTGCTCACCTCTGAGGTCCAGGGTTTGAATCCCATTCACCCCAAGAGTCAAGGGTTTTTCCTCCCTCCTCTCAAATCGACTCTAACAAATTCAAACTAGTTAGAGCTGTCTCCGGGGTCATACATTGACTGTATAGTGGCTACCATAGACATCTTCACATGCTAATAGTTCGAACTACTTGAGCTGTGCCACTTTGCTATGATGATTAGTGGTGACAATTTTTTTTTTGTTTGTTTATTTGAGAGTTTTTCTCTGGGTTTTCTGGTTTTCCCCCAGGCCTCCATGAGACTTAACGTGCAAACTTCCAACTAGTCTACAAGTCTACTTTGCCTTTACCAATACTTACAGATGCAGAGAACTGTAATAAAGACCAGATAGATTAGGAGTTCTCTGAGTGTGGTCTTGATATGCATCTCTCTGTCAGTGTCTGTGTCTTCAGTCTGCCGAGTCCTCCATAGCCCTGCAAAGTTAACCCATTTCAAAATATTATTGTTACATTCTTATTTCAGGGACTGCGACACATTTTTTGCTAAATACTACACTAAAATTATATATCCATGGCTATATCCATGTTTCTGGGTTTAAGTCCCAATAAGAGCATATGATATTTTTCTCACGGGCATGTGCGAGGAGTGATGGTCATAAAATATAATTAGAAAAGAAGTTATACAGTACATATATATCTATAAATATGCATATGTACCCTAAACTGTATTTTTCTTATCCTATGTTTTGGTTTATTTCTTATATTAATAACTTCACCAAGAATAGAGTGCAAATAATATAGCCATGAAATAGATAGCTAGCTAGCTAATTACTAACCTTTGGTTGCCTAAGGCTAATTAGTTAAAATAGGCGAGCTATGATGGGTAAACTAGTGCATGTGTGCTACTCAAGGGCACGCATTTTAAAATATTTATAAACACACTTCTGAAAGCTGAAACAATATTGCCCTTGTCATGCCTCACTGAATTCCTATGTTTTGTCTAATAAAGCGCTAACTATCTCCTATTTCATCCTAACTATTTCACGGGTATATTATTTGCACTCTATTGAAATATAACACATTAAACAACAACAGAAATGAGAGGCAGGGTTACTGCAACAGTGTAGCCAATAGACTATTTACTGCTGACCCTGGTTCTCTTTCATACCACTTTGTTTTAAATCTTTTACTAAAAATTTGCATTTTTTTCTAACTTTTATACACATACACATGAATACACACACTTTGCTGCCAATTAACTAAAAAATATTACTTTCTGACAAACAATAAATTGTGGAAAAAGTGTTTATTAATAATTTATAGATCAAATTTAGAAGAAATTGTAGTATGTACATTGTGGGAATACTTAGATTTTAATCATATGTGCTTTTTTGTATAATTTCTTGCCAGTAACCAATTTTGAGGCCATTAAAATTCTGAAGTTATTAAAAAAAATTTTTTGGAAACTTTAAAAAAATATGCTGATCAATTTGCAAGTATGTGATTCAAAAGAAATGCTAAAATTTGATAGCTGTAGTTTTTTGATTACGCTTCCTAATGATAATGTGAAAATTGGTATTTTATTTTTTCAAATTTTCAGTCAGCCAGAAATTGTAGGATTTGTTTTTAATACGCTGATAACATGCAAGGGTATGATCTTAAAATCAATATCAAAAACTGATAGCTGTAGTTTTTTAATTAAGCTTCCTCAAGCCCATGTTTATTGTGCAGAATTTTAAATTATTCTTGTTATGTAATAGAAGTGTAAATATATCCCATTATGAAGAATATTGTTAATTTTTCCTTTATTAAAGCAATAGTCTTAAAACTTCTTTCTGACATTTTGAATCTAAGTGAATAAAATAATATTGAAGAAAATGAAATTTTTGAGTTTAAAGAAAAACAAAGTGAAAATTAAGATAGCATTTTTTATAGAATTGTGTTGATATCATGCTGAGAAGTAATAAACCATGCTACAGTAGCTATTGACGAACTCCTCAAACTTCCTAAACTCACTTAGAAAAATTTAAAAAAAAATTTCAAAATAAGTGTCATGTTGTCAATTTTTTTCTTAAATAATATGCTTCTACTAAATTCCTTTTACACGATCTCCATGAATTCAAACCCAACAGCTAAATCAATATCCTTTCTAGAAGAATCAAAGACAGCCAATAGTAACTCCTAAAAAACAGCCTACGACTTGTATCGAGTATTTGATGAAATAAGGTAAATTATACGGTCTCCATGGAAATAATTCGGGTACTTTGACGAAGTTCGGTTGTCAAGGGAGTACAAATTGTTGATTTTTATCGCTGAAATTCGGGAGTTGTCCTCAAGACTTTTTCGACAAAAATAAAATACTACAGTACTTGAGACAATCTTGAATTTGTCAAATTTTTGAGAATGTTTTCGCCCCGTTTAGCGAAGACCAACGTCAAAAAAAGCGAAAAGCAGCTGAAAAAATAATTTTTTGTCTTGGTTTTTCGTCTTTTGGCGGACCTTACAAAAGTAAAGCTTAATGCCTTTAGTCCATAATTTCTCTTATTCTTTTGCTTCTTAAACTGCAATTTCGTTAATCCTAAGATAATCAGCAAGAGAAAAGAAAGTCTACGCGCCACTGCTCGGCTGAATCATTTTATTTTGTTTCAAGAAAAGAAAAAATGATCGGACAAGCTTCTGAAATGCTAAAATAATAAATCACTTGTACAACTTTAGGGTCGAAAACGAAAAAGATTTCAGAACCCCTACATAGGTGACAAAAAGAACGAAGAATCCCTTTAATTAAGTTTTTCCCCCGTAAGGAGGTTGAAAGTCACTTCCGAAAAACCTTTCAACTGTTAGCCCTGACACTAAGTTGGCTTCCTTAATAAATAAAAAAACCTAAGTTCTCTAAAATTTTAGCACATAGTGGCAGATAAGATCAAATGACGAAATTAAGGAAAAATAACACCAATCCAGAGTTTTCTTCTCGTCGCATGAATTATTTATCTAGTGTAGTTGCGGTAAACCCGAGCTAGCAAACACATACCATACATTACAGTTGGCTTATTCCTTCGCCACATTTTACATTGATATACTCTTTGGTATTAATAATGGCTATATTACTTTGTATTCCCTTCGCTCGAATCGGCTAACTCAATAACTAGTTGAGTTTTACTCAAGATTTAAAATATCTTGCCTAGAGCAAAGTTGGCATACACTAAAACACCTGCGCGGCTCTCTACTCTCATTAAAATTTTAGCTCTTGTCGCAACTCGTAGTTCAAGGTTGTCGAAATTTCAGGCTAAGCTAGCCAAATAGAAAGCGCAGATTTTCATCTGAGGTAGAAAAGTAATACCCTAGAGAATTAGGAAGAAGATAAAGCTGTAAATTAAAGGAATATGATTCGAAGAGGAGAATTCTTGAATAAATATCCGATTCGAGTCTTGGTCAATTAGAAACCATCGAGTATATTGATGCATGTATTTTCGCCTCCTTTTCCTTAATGATAGCTAACTTTGACAAATTTTCGTGGCGAATGATAGTGGTTAAGTAAATTTTTTGTAAAATTATAACAGCGAGATATCCATAATATTCTTAACATACGGTAGTACGATCGAACCGTCGATTGACTAGAATACCATCAACACAACGTAGTCTTGCTGTATGTATGTGTTTGTATTTTTTGTTTGTATATATTTCGTTTTTCACGCATGAATAGTTTTTCTTGTAGGTCAGAATGTTTGTCAGGCTCCATCGATAATCCACCAAAACATAGTAAGTCTTAAAGAACTTTAATTTTCTTACCTCGTACGATTCTCTTGAACCGAGTCCAACATCCGACAGGAACATTCTTCGCTCCCGGAGCACGTACATCGGCTGGAACTTGCTTCTGGTGAGAAACGGGTTCAGACTCCATAGCCGATGGAATCACATCAACAGCGGCCGAAGCAGGCGCTCTTGGAGAAGAGAAATCCACGTCATCTCCTCCTGGTCCGTTTAGAAGATCATCATCGGACCAAGCGTTCCTTGAAAGTGAAGATTGTGGTCTTCCCTTCTCGCTCATCTCCATGTCGTCGTTCATACTCAACCCGAGACTCGCTTGAGACCCCGGTCTTCCTCTACGCTTTGCTGTACTCATCCTCGAAACAGCTTAGTATGTATTGGAATCCCCTTAGTAAGGTTTAGAAGTTGCTCTGATTCAATGTCAGGGCTGACAGAATATTTATATGTTCACAGAATTTGGTCTTGCGGCCAACTCGTTCTCGACTCTATGCTGGCTATAGTGAAGTGAGTTTGGAAGACCTTTTTCTCATCAATATTGCATGACCTGCGTAAGAGGTTTCTAGGTGTCAATCATTCAGCACTAATTAAACAATTTCCATGGAAACTTTGTTTTTCAGAAAAGAGACTTTTTTCCCAAAAGATAAAATGACAGAATCTTGAAGAAGAATAGTGTCATAAAAAAAGCTTTGGATTTTCCATGTACTTACTATCTCAGTTAGCATAAAATTCTTAATTTCCTTCGATTTGACTTAGTTTCTGAGGGCCAAGATGATTAAAGTTTTATTAGTTTTACTAAAGTAAAAAAGGAAAAATTAATAACAATACTAACGAACTTCTATTGGCTCACAAAAGTGCTAAGAATGGCTACAAATGTTTTGGGAAAATTTTGTCTCATTTTAAGTTTCTTTTTTTTCTTCTTTAGGGGGTCAGGAGTCTTGCATCCTCTAAGTTGAATATTATTCTGAACGGAAATGAAACGGGGAAAAAAACCACACTCTTATTATTTGTTGATAGACAGAGGCTTAAAAGATGTCAAATATGAAGAAAAAAGAAAAGAATATATATAGATCATATACACCTGGCTCTCGAGCTCGGAGGTAACAGTGACGTCATCATGTCAACGCGTTATCAAATATTCATATTGGATCAAACTCCTATTGGTTAAGGCACAATAAAAGGATTTCAAAACTTTGCTATTATTGACCAATATCGGTTCCTAAGTAAATTCATTAAAATTTTCGCCTAATGGATATTCTTTGGAATAGTTAGATGAAAGTCGAGTCAGAATGTTTTTAATGTTATATTTTCACGTTCCGTTCAATCCTAATGGATTAAAGTTGTTTTTACTAAACTTGGCTAGATTAGAAGCTACCAGTACCGAACTTAAAGTTCCATGTAGTGAATATATTTTTGTTTTATTTTTATTCTTTTATGGAAAACAATACATTAAGATTATCTATATCAAGGCATTATTATGCTTTGCATCGATATCTGCAAAATGTTTCCAATTTTCTTTCTTTTTACCGAGGCGAACTCACTTTGGGAAATTCCTTCTGCTTATATTAGGACCCAAAAGAAAGCGTCATTAAAAACACTTTTATATCCAGCATTTGGATTCTAAATATCAGTTCGAAAATTAAGTGAATAAGTGATATTATTGTGGTGCAATAGTACGATCATTTAGTCACTGACACTTAGTCTTGCAGTAAACTAAGACACATTTAGAGCAAGTATAAAAAAGAAATGCTCAAGATTCGCCACTTTTCATAAGAATCATTATTTAAGTTGTAGTACAATGGAGTTTCGTTTTATACCCGTATGCAAAGAAAGTTTTGTGTAAATATAGCCCTATTCAGTTCTATTCAATAGGATCCCACGAAATCTAGGAGTCCTACTGGCAAGAATTAAAAATCTTAAGCAACCAAAAAATTTGAATTTTGCGATGAGAAAAAACGTGTTATGCCAGTTATTTTTCAGTAAATTCAATTTTTTTTTCTTTTTCAGGGAAATAACAATGGAAAGAGAATCTAGACTGCTTGATTAAGGGTCAGATTTTCGCTTCTTGAGCTAAACAGGAATTAAACTATAGCAGTAACCTTTTAGGTCTAATCAACTTTCGTCGGCAGGCAACTAAAGCTCACCATAGGCACGAAGAATTCTCCAGAAATCTATTTTCCTTTTAGGCAAACTACGATTGATAGCATTAAATATTATGGATTACTAACCAATCGTTATAAAGTCGACCCTTATAAATAGTTTTGCCCATTGAATTCATGAAAAACTAAAAACAATGAATAATAAAGAACTTTGACAAAACGAGTCGCTATTTGCTAGGAATCCGCTGATTTTCGTTGTATGAACTGGAAGCATATATGCCGCGCACAGCATCGTAATTTCAAGAAATATCCTTTACTCTTTTTATCATTTTAGCTAGGCCAAGGGCTCCACGCAATTAGTTCGCCACCTAAGTTTTGTTGCGGAATTACTGTTTCCGTGCCAGTCACTTCCATTAGAGAGTGTTATGGTGAACGTTATTATGGGAGAAATTAGTAAGCGCTCTCGCTGGATTGGAAGCTAAAAGATTATTGAAACAGGAGTAGAAAGGCGTAGAACAATAAATCGAATATTCTGGATGGATTGGCGATAAGGCGACCACTTTGACGTGCGATGTGGCTTTGCCGGAATATTGCACAAAGAGATTTTGAACAATTACTTACAGTAATACACTTGAATGGCTGGTTTAAAAATAGAGAAATATTTACTGATAAATACCTTTGATTGTTTGTTTGCAAGAAAATGTTTTGAGACGGCAACACTTTTATAGAATAACAACTAGTCAAGATCGTAGTCCTAACGTCACAACAGTGTATCTATAGGATTTTCTAGGCTTGGAAACGTTAGTATGGGCTGCATAAGCTGAGATATCTGCTAAGTTATGACAGAGGTGCAAGTATTTTTGTCCTGAATAAAATAATCGATGCTTGTCTGGAAAAAGCTCTTTGGGATAATTATGCCTGTATGCGTAAATCATTCAGTACAACAGAGGGATCATTGCCTTAACTCAGAGTAAACGCTTTCAATGGAATGAAAGCGTCATGTGATAATTAGGCCAATTTTGTAGGGCATTGCTTTGACAGGAATATATCATAGTATTCATTTGTACTGGTGAAGATGTATGTCTTTTAGATCTTACCTGCAGGTGTCTCATGCAAGTCGGTGTCGTCAGTGGTGTTAAACAATGACATACAATAAATCGGCCCTGACTGAGTTACAATGCGGTCGGATTATGTTGTGATTAGTGGGGATGCCGTTGTTGTCGTTGTCGTTTTCCGTCGTCGTTACATTGACGATGATGATGATCTGGAGATGCTGTTGATGATGACGATGATATTGAGGATAATGATGATGATGTGAGGATGATGGTGATTATTTGGGAATGATGATGATGTGAGGATGATGATGATGATGTGGGATAATGATGATGATAGTGATGATGATGATGATGGTGGTGTGGGATAATGATAATGATAGTGATGATGATGATGATATGAGATAAAGATGATGATAGTGATGATGATGATGTGGGATAATGATTATGATAGTGATGATGATTATGATAGTGATGATGATTTGAGGATGATGATGATGCTGGATGATGATGATGATGTAGAGATGATGATGATGTAGAGATGATGATGATGTGGAATGATGTTGATTATGTGGGGATGATGATGTAGGATGATCATGATGTGAGAGTGATAATGATGTTGATAATGATGATGATGTCGAGGATGATGTGGGGATGACGAGGATGATAATGATGATGATGAAGTGATGATGATGGTGATGATGATAAAGATAACGATGGTTATGCTGCATTTTACATCATGTGTAACTGTTGATGGATGATGCCAGTGATTGATGTTACTATGTCGTTTAATTCATAACGATCGTGTTACTGCTAGTTGACTAAATGACGGTGTTTATCTTGATCTCGATCGAGCATCAATGTACGTGATTCAAAAACTATTTCGTTACTCATCAAATCGATCCAATCCTTTTGCTCCATCGCGGGGGCAACTAATCAACTTAATTTGCGTCATTCCTTTGTTCAGCGCTGCGCAATCACACTAGTGGATTATCCCAAGTTGAACAATCCCCAGACGGATTAGTCTCTACGTTGGGTATTAATTGTCGCCAACTTTAAGAAAATTTCTTATCCATTGCATTATCAAGGATAGGTTTTCGATTAATCCATTTTCTGTCAGGATTCATTACTTTTCCTCTTTTGGAAATATATTGTAAGTCTCCGGTGGAAAAAAAACGTATTCCTGCGCACACGCTCTCGAGTCTCAGCCATCAATTGCATCATGCTACATTACTTTGCACTCCTCGATATAGGACGACGAAGATCGAGTTAACAAGGATAATAATCAAGAATTCGATTATATTTGATATCGTTGTGATAATTAAGAGAGCCAGACATCGTAAATCCCTTTGGACACTAAGCCCGTGTGTTATCTACTTGCAATATTTATTCAGTATACACAATGGTACTTTTTGGATATATATTTATCTTGGCATGCTGAGTCATCTGATTTTAGTTCATTTTCGTCGAAAGAAAGATAGCAAGAAATGATGTATCAAATGAATGAATACCGAGTGAAAGAAAGAAAGGAAAGAAGGAAGAAAGGAAAGTTGTTTTTTAAAGTTAAATCCCAAACGAATTTGAAAAACATTCCTTATCGAATCCCCAATCTGTTTAACGATTAGTCCCTGAGATATTCGCCTATTCTTCTGGAAAGGAAGTCTTGACGCCAGGTTATACATGTCTTAAATCATTTGCCATTCTACTGTGTGATGACAAAACCAGTTACGAATATTTTAAGTAATTGTTCTCTTTGTATTGTGGGTTATAAATGACCATCTTTCAATTTAATGACAAGATTTCATTTCCAGTGACATGACGGTAGCTCAGGTGGTGGCATTGAGGTTCTTCGTGACGTCACTCTGTAGAGAAATTCGTTTGATTTGAAAAAGGAGTTGATATTCAACGCTGTCATACAGATATTAGTTAAAATGAAGTTTCTCGAAGATCGTACGTACGTAAACTATTGAATATTAATTAATTTTTAACTATTAATTTTCGTGTAAATACATGAAATTTTACAATTAAGACATGTACGGTTGGCAGGCAAAATTTGCTTGCCAACGTACCAGTTCTCCATAAAAATTGTTAGATTCAAAAAATTCATAGATTCGATGGATTATCGACAATCTTCGCGCAATTTTATAATTTTAACGAATATCTATATGAATTGAAAAAATATTTTTTTCGGTAGCGTGACGTCACAGTGTAGGTAACCAAGTAATCCAATCTACACTGCGCATTACCGGGGCACAATGAAGTAATCTATCTAATATTCTAACTTCTATGTCAGTGTTAGCTGGGTTTGAAAACATGAAAAAAAGTGTCTTCGAATTCAAAGAAACCGTTTGAGTTTTAAGGCAAGCAATTGTGCGGTTTCGAAGCGAAGTTTTTCGTTCAAATTCTGTCGGAGTTCAGTCGTTTTCTATTTATAGATAGATATACATTATAATAGATCAGTATCGCCATTAGATATATGTAGTAAATCAATTGAGCTTTGTGGCTATAAGTTTATGTAGTTTTACGATGGTTATCGCTCAAATATATCTGAGGAACGGAAACGAAAAAGCTCCAACGCGCGAATGAAGAATTGCATCATTCAGAATGAAACTAATGCAGCCAAAACCTGTTAAACCAGTTATATCAGTGACTAACTAATTACGGTAGGTACTGAAATAATAAAACAATTGACTCTCATGCCAAGATAGAGATATGATCCAAGTGGCCATAAATTATTATAACATATAGCGCATATATTTTGACTTGCCCCAAGTCGACCGGCTCTCTTGTCTCCCGAGGAGTTTTTTTTTATTCGAGAAGCGAGAATTTGGGGAGACGGTAACGAGCGATCAACAAAAAGGGCGCTGGTCAGATATGACACTGTGTTACATAAAGAGGCTATAGACTAGTTCGTGGTGGGACATGTGACTTAGTGAATGCTTAAGTGGCCGTATCATTTTTTTGGCGAGTTTCCCGTTCAAATCCATGAAGAGAAAATGAATTTGTCAAGCTACCTGCTAAAGTACAAATACTTAACTATATTATAGTATGAATTGGTCGCAGATTTCATTTAATTGAGGAAGTCTAAATTGTTAAAATTCGAAAGACGTCTTCACTAACCAGTTAAGGAAGCAAAGGCTGTCCTGGTTTCGTAGACGTTTTTTGTATTTTGCGTTCGAGGACTTTGTTCTTTGAAGCCGAACACGCGTTCCACATGATGAAGCTGTCTCTGATTGGCTATATTTTACTCGGTACATTAGTGTCCCCGATTAGTGTGCTACTTGTGACATGCTAGAAGTTTGACATGTTAATAAAGTTTATGTATGTATGTATGTATGTATGTATGTAT